AAAAAAAAAAAAAAAAATTAGCTGAGCCTGGTGGTGCATGACAGAAGTCACAGCTTCTTGGGAGGCCGAGGTGAGAGCACTGCTTGGGCCCTGGAAATCAAGCCTACAGTGGGCAGTGGTTACACCACTGCACTCTAGCCTGGGTGACAGAGTGAGACCCTGTCTCAAAAAACAAAAACAAAAATAAAAAACAAATTCACTCTTTAATTTTTTTTGAGATGGAGTCTTGCTCTGTCAGCCAAGCTGGAATGCAGTGGCGCGATCTCAGCTCTCTGCTACCTCCGCCTCCTGGGTTCAAGCAATTCTTCTGCCTCAGCCTACAGAGTAGCTGAGATTACAGATGGCTAATTTTCGTATTTTTAGTAGAGATGGGGTTTTACCATCTTTGCCAGGCTGGTCTTGAACTATTATTGACCTTGTGATCCACCTGTCTCCACCTCCCAAAGTGTTGGGATTACAGGCATGAGTGACAGTGCCTGACAAATTCACTCATTTAAAGTGTAAAGTGTCCAGTTTGGTTTATGGTATACTCAGAGTTTTGTGACCATCATCACAGTCTAATTTTTTTTTTTTTTTTTTTTTGAGGGAGTTTTGCTCTTGTCGCTCAGGCTGGAGTGCAATGGCACGATCTCAGCTCACCACCACATCTGCCTCCCAGATTCAAGCTATTCTCCTGCCTCAGCCTCCCAAGTAGTTGGGATTACAGGCACGTGTCACCATGCCCCGCTAATTTTGTATTTTTAGTAGAGACGGGGTTTCTCCCCGTTGTTCAGGCTGGTCTCAAACTCCCGACCTTAGGTGATCTGCCCACTTGGGCTCCCAAAGTGCTGGGATTACAGGCCTGGGCCACCATGCCTGGTCACAGTTTAATTTTAAAACATTTTCAACACTCCAAAAAGAGACCCCATACCCATTAGCAGTACCTTCCTATTTCTGCTTTTCCATCCTTCAGCCCCAGGCTACTTTTTTTTTTGAGACAGTCTGCTCTATGTCGCAGGCTGGAGTGCAGTGGCGTAATCTCGGCTCACTGAAACCTTTGCCTCCTGGGTTCAGGCGATTCTCCTGCCTCAGCTTCCTGAGTAGCTGGGATTACAGGAGCCCTCGACCAGGTTTGGCTAATTTTTGTAATTTTAACAGAGACAGGGTTTCACCATGTTATTCAGGCTGGTCTAGAACTCCTGACCAGCACCCAGCCCACCCCATGCTACTTTTTTTTTTTTTTTTTTTTGAGATGGAATCTCGCTCTCTCGCCCAGGCGAGATTGCAATGGTGCAATCTCGGCTCACTGTAATCTCCGTCTCCCAGGATCAAATGATTCTCCTGCCTCAGCCTCCCTAGTAGTGGGGATTACAGGTGTCCGCCACCAACCCCTGCTAATTTTTGTATTTTTAGTAGAGACGGGGTTTCACCATGGTGGCCAGGCTAGTCTCCAACTCCTGACCTTGTGATCTGCCCGCCTTTGCCTCCCAAAGTTCTGGGATTACAGGTATGAGCCACCGTGCCAGGACCCTGATAGGAGAAATTTTATCATGATGATCAACCATTTGCTTACCATGTGTATTGCAAATAATTTTTAGACATTTGTTCTACTTTGTTGATGGTATCTCTTCCTGGTACAGATGTTTATGTATGTATTCATATATATATATATANTCCTGCCCCAGCCTCCTGAGTCGCTGGGATTACAGGCACGCGCCACCATGCCCAGCTAATTTTTTGTATTTTTAGTAGAGACGGGGTTTCACCATGTTGACCAGGATGGTCTCGATCTCTTGCCCTCGTGATCCACCCGCCTCGGCCTCCCACAGTGCTGGGATTACAGGCTTGAGCCACCGCGCCCGGCCATATATATATATATTTTTTGAGACAGAGCCTTGCCCTGTCGCCTAAGTTATCGCAATGGCGTGATCTCGGCTCACTGCAACCTCCGCCTCCTGGGTCCAAGTGAGTCTTCTGCCTCAGCCTCCTAAGTAGCTGGGGATTACAGACGCACACCACCATGCCCAGCATTTTGTATATTTAGTAGAGACGGGGTTTCACCATGTTGGTCAGGCTGGTCTCAAACTCCTGATCTCGTAATCCTCCTGCCTCGGCCTCCCAAAGTGCTTTGACAACAGGTGTGAGCCACCCCCTTCCCTAGATGTTTATATGTCTTTCAATCTTTTCTTTTATGATTTTTTGATTTTGATTAATGAGTACAAACCTTTCCTTCCTCCAATTACAAAGCTTCCCCCCATATCTTCTTTTGGTGTTTCATAGCATTGCGATTTGTCTGTTTTCGATCTATTTTGAGTCTAGTTTGAGATAGTATATCTTCACAAATACGAGTGATTTGAAAAGTTACTTTCATTAAGTGGCCAAATTCCCATTGATATTCGAAAGCGGATAGAATAACAGCTGACATTAAGATTCAGTGCTTACAAGCAGGGCAGCTTCATGTTCTTAGTTTAATGTTGTGCTGGTGCCATCTTGAAATTCGTAATAATATTTGAACAAGGAACCCCGAATTTTTCTTTTTTTTTTTTTTTTTGGGACGGAGTTTCGCTTTTGTTACCCAGGCTGGAGTGCAATGGCGCGATCTCGGCTCACCGCAATCTCTGCCTCCGGGGTTCAAGCAATTCTCCTGCCTCAGCCTCCTGAGTAGCTGGGACTACAGGCATGCGCCACCACGCCCAGCTAATTTTTGTATTTAGTAGAGACGGGGTTTCACCATGTTGTCCAGGATGGTGTTGATCTCTTGACCTCGTTATCCACCCGCCTCTGCCTCCCAAAGTGCTGTGATTACAGGTGTGAGCCACCATGCCCAGCCAATTTTTTTAATTTTTAAAATTTTTTGGCCAGGTGTGGTGGGTCACACCTGTAATCCCAGCACTTTGGGAGGCTGAGGCGGGAGAATCATCTGAGGTCAAGAGTTTGAGACTAGCCTGGCCAGCATGGTGAAACCCTGTCTCTACTAAAAATATAAAAATTAGCCAGGCGTGGTGGTAGACAACTGTAATCCCAGCTACTCCGGAAGCTGAGGCAGAAGAATGGCTTGAACCCAGGAGGTGGAGGTTGCAGTGAGCCGAGATCACACCACTGCACTCCAGCTCCAACAGTGTGAGACTCGTTATATTGCCCAAGCTGGTCTTGAACTCCTGGGCTCAAGCAATTGGAGATAATAGACCATAAGCCACCATGGCCAGATAATTTTCTCATGGGAAATAGGAATAATAATTTTACCCATGTCATAGATATTTTGGGAGTTTTAAATGAGATAATGATTATAAAAGTCCTTTGGTTAGACAGAGTCTTACTCCATCATGCAGGCTGGAGTGCAGTGGTGTACTCTCTGCTCACTGCAACCTCTGCTTCCCACGTTCAAGCAATTCTCCTGCCTCAGCCTTCTGTGTAGCTTGAATTACAGGCACGCACCACCTGCCTGGCTAATATGGCAAAACCCTGCCTCTACTAAAAATACAAAAATTAGCCGGATGTGGTAGTGCAGGTCTATAATCCCAGCTACTAGGGAGGCTGAGGCGGGAGTATGGCTTGAATCCAGAGGGTAGAAGTTGCGGTGAGCCGAGATCACACCACCGCACTCCAGCCTAAGTGATGGAGCAAGACTCTGGCTCAAAAAACAAAACAAAACAAAACAAAAACAAAAACAAAAAATAAAAAAACCCTAGAGGCCGGGCTCGGTGGCTCAAGCCTGTAATCCCAGCACT